CCTATGTCTAACCCCGGACCCACACACCCCCCCACACAACCCCAGGCCCTGTCCCGCAGCTACACAGCTCCGCAACCAGCTCCGTAACCAGCTCCGCTCCGCTTCAACCTGTGTACCTGCTCTTGCTTGACGCGAGACGTTCGTGGAGGCGATTTCGCGAGGGGAGTTCGCCTATTCTGGCGGGGTCTGAGGGGAAACTCGAGAACGAGTTTTAAGAGATGGTCGAAATTGAGATTCGACCAAGGAGAGCCGAGGAGGAAATCGACAATGAGAAGCGTGAAAGCTTCAGAGATGAGAAATTCAACGAGGTCGAGCGCGAAGGTGGTCGACGATGAGAGGCGCGACTGCAGAGTGGAGCACGTCGAAAGTCCGACGACTCGAAACGAATGTCGCGACGATGAAGTGCGCGTAGCGCGGGCACGTTCAGATTAGGACCTTGATCTGCGTGTGCGGATAGGTCGCTCTGATACCATATAAGAAATAGAGTTGAAATGATTGATTAGGTAAGGAGCCCAAGGCTCTATAAGTACATGGCAAGGTGAGAGAGAATGGATGAAGGGGGAATTGGAGGGAATCCCCATTGGGATCTCCGGAATCTCCAATTGGGTAATTGGAGATGGTGGGGATCACAATTGGGTGAGGTTGGGATTTGTGAGTACACCCCAACCCACTAGAAGCGGAGCAGAGCCTTGGGCTCCTTACCTAATCAATCATTTCAAGTCTATTTCTTACAGTAGTGCTTTGCAATACCGGTGAGCATTTTGTTGCTACCGAAGTGTCCGGCGTAGAGGACGTCGTGGTATTCTTCGAGTAGTAACTGGCGCAAAGGAGGGTAACTGGGTACCCAGATTTTTGTTGATCCCTTCCGGTATGCGATGTCACTGTCCCACTAGAGCAGGTGTCGTTTTGCTGCCAAAGGAATTTCTGGGTCGATGGCGTACCCCTGTGTGAAGATTCCCCTTAGAAACGGGTTCATCCCTTCGACCTGGATTGCGGCAACGTGTGCCAGCCGACTGAGAGCGTCTGCTTTGCTTTTTGCCGGGGCTTGTACACGATGTCATAGTGGAAGTGTGTCTCGAGGAAGTCAATCTACCGGACCCGCCGCCTGGAGAGGTTTGGTTGTGTCTTCAAATATTTCAGGCTGCAGTGGTCGATATAGAATGTTGTTTTTCGCCCTTCGATAACATCTCTACGTTTTAAAGACGATGATAATAGCAAGGGCCTCTTTGTCGTGTATCGGGTAGTTAAGTTCTGCCCCGTGTAGTTTCTTGCTGAGGTAGGCGATTGGTTGCAGTCCATTTCCCTGGTCTTGCATCAAGACTGCTCCCACTGCCTGGTCACTGGCGTCAGCTTCAATGACGTAGTCGCGTTCGGGGTCTGGCAAGATGAGTAGACGTGCAGGCGTGAGTGCTTGTTTCAGCTACTCTACGGCTTCCTGATATTTTGGTTCCCACTTATAGGGCGTGTTCTTCTTCAGCAGATTCGTGAATGGTATTGTGATTTTTGTGTACTGTGGCACGAACCTATTGTAATAGTTAGTGAAGCCTAGGAACTGCTGCAACTCCTTCACGTTTTCGGGTCTCTTTCACGTGCGTAAAGCTTCGATCTTCTTGGGGTCGACGTGAGATCCTTAAGCGCTCACGATGTGTCCTAGGAATTGGACTTTCTCGAGGGCGAATTCGCTCTTGGAGAACTTGACGTAGAGTCGTTCTCGTTGGAGAATGTCGAAGACGCATCGCATGCGTTGGACGTGCTGCTGCATGTCGCGTGAGTAGATGAGGATGTCGTCCAGGTACACCACCACGCATTCCTCCAAGAGTGGGCGTAGAATATGGTTCATTTTGTCTTGGAACATTGCCGGTGCGTTGGTGAGTCCGAACGGCATTACCAGATACTCGTACGACCTCTACCGAGTTCAGACGGCAGTTTTGTGGATGGAATTGTCCGCCATTTGTATCTGCCAGTATTCGAACCGCAGATCTAGTTTGGAAAATACTGTGGCTCCCTGAAGCTGGTCAAGCAGGTCATCGATTCGTGGGATTGGATATTTGTTCTTGATGGTCTGCTTGTTGAGAGCTCGGTAATCGATGCACATGCGCCGACTTCTGTCTGGTTTCAGTGGGGAAGAATACTAGGGCACCGTATGGCGAAGTAGATGGTCGGATGAGTCCTTTTGCAAGGAGATACTCGATCTGTTTCTTTATGTCGGCTAGCTCCGTGGGGCTGAGCTGATATGGTGCTCGGAAGGTCAGCTTCGAACTTGGTTCTTCCACGATCTCGTGTTGGTGCGTTTGGTATGGCGGCAGCTCGTTCGGAAGTTCGTCGGGAAGAATGTCTTGGAACTCATCCAGTAGTTCCTTTATTTTTTGTGGAGGTTCCGAGGTTTTCTCTCCGCCGCATTCCACATCCGTCTCTATTGCCAGGAACCCAGTGTCGGTTCGCTTTACGCCCTTCTCGAATCTTGCAAGTGTCTCCACTGGGATATCTCCCGTATCGTCCTAGTTGGGTAGTTGGACTCTCCTTCCATTGTTGTAGATGCTTGCGGTATGATTTATTTAGTTGATCTCGGGGTTGAATCTTTTTAGGAAGTCTCGCCCAAAGATCAAGTCAAGCCGTCTTATCTTGGTGATGGGGAGTGCAGGTTTCCAGCGCAGTGGTCCGATTTGTAGATGTAACATTGCTTCGCCGTGTACTGATAACTTGCTACCGTCCACCATCGTTGCAGAGAATACTGATGGCTTGTACTCTTCCCGAAGTCGGTCGATTACTGCCTTGTCGCAGACGGTGTGCAATGCCCCGCTGTCCACGAGTGCTTGGAGGCGTTGTCCTTTGCAGATGACCTCGAGCACGAGGGGCGGGCGTTGCTCGGAGTACCCAAAGATAGTTTCATTCATGGGATCATAGGGTACATCCCAATATTCCGTACACACCTTTTTCTTGCTATCTGCTCATCGGTTAGCAGCTGGCCGAGGCTGCTTGGAGAAGTCTCTCCATTAGGACCCTGAGCTTTGACGAATGCGTGAGTTGTTGATGCCGAATTTGCTGACCTGGGTGCATCCGGAGGAGGAGTTCGGGGATTTTGCAGCTTTTTGTAGACCCCCAGCTTCCTCTTGAGCTGCTTCAGCTCCACTGACATATTCTCCGGGGAACAGGTAGTCATTGTGGGCTGGTGTCGGGAGTGGACGTTGACTCCATGCAAAGGTCAGCTTCTTTCTACACTCCTTAATTTTGTCCCCAAGTTTTCCGGTACCAATATGATCTCCACAAGTTTCTGCTTCTTCTTGAGTCCCTCTTGAAATTTCTCCAAGGCTCTAGCCCCTCTAGAATCATAAGTTTTCATTAAAGCATCTTTATAAGATAACTTTAACGAGTCCTGATAATTTCTTGGGTCTTCTCGGAGTTTCCCCGTCTCAGCGGAGTCCTTTTTTGCGGAGTCAGATTCTTTCTTGACGATTTTCTCTGGCGAAGACTGGTCGTGGGGTGGAGATTTTTCCCCATCATTTCCTCCTGCTCGAGGCGAATCAGCTTCGTTGAAGTCGATTTTCCCGGAATCCCGGGGCCGTTTTTGGATCTCTTCTTTTTCGCCAGCTAGATCCGCAATCACTGGCGAATTCCTGCTTTTGTCTTCTGATTAGCTGAAGAATTTCCGGCACTGTTGTATGCCCGATACTCTGCTCGTGCGGCCTTCATTTTGTTGCTATCGAAGATTCGATGGCACGGCACCCCTCAAAAATCAAACATGTGTTGGTGTTTTTTGGACGTGACCGCCCGTCCAACCTGTCGATTTCCATCGGGTCAGCGAACGTGGGGTGAGCCTTGCGGTCGCCCTGTCATATACTGCCGACGTGCACCCGTGGTGTTCCGGTGTTGACCATGACAAACCGCTCTGCTGCCGAAACGACGCCACTGTAGCTCGCGTAATTTGTCGCTGCTACCTGTCTTTTGACTTCGGTCTTCAGCCCGGCGAGATACGACTGTACTTTTCCCCTTTGGTCAGGTCAGGAATGTGGTTATAAAATTCCGCCATCTGTTGCGTGTACTGCGCTACACTCCTGAACCGGCGATGGCGATGAATTCTTTCCCGAGCAAGGAAACCCGGATTTATCGGCTCGAAGCGTTTCAGCAGGTCCTTGCAGAACTGCTGCCACGTGGCTTCGCCGTGGATGAAGGTACTGTTACCGCCGATCCACTAGAGTGCCGGTTTTCGCATCAGTGTCGCCGCGAGTCGTACGCGTTGACCGTCTCAGACTGGCGAGCTCCATCCGACGGCAAGGAAGTAGATCTCCATGCCGGCGATCCATCTACGGGTGTCGGAATTTCGATCGCTCGGATCGAACGGCTCAGGTGGGAGCAGTTTCGGAGCCACGAGATGTTGGTGCATATTCATTTGCACGTCATCCTGTCGTCTGTTCGCATCATTTCGTTTGCATGTGTTTTGTGTGCTACGTTGTTTGTATGGTTTGTTGGGTTTGCATGTCTTTGCATGTTCATCTTGTGCTTGTGCAGATGTGCTTGGATTGTGCATGACATCGAGCACATTCCAACGAGCCAAGAATTGTTGGAATCGGAGCACATATGAAGAAGTTACGAAGAAATGTTTGATGGATTTGTTACAACTCATTGGAAGTCCTTGTCAGCTGCTACACCAAAGTTGGAGAGCCCTATAACGAGGAGGGACCAGCATGTGTGGGACTTTTGTCCCCACCTTGCAGCTGCAGCATTTGGGGTTTGGAGGCCAACCTGGCACAGTGTGAATTTTGTCTTGCCAGGCTGGCTGAACCTGAGGATGGGGAGTCAAAACTTTGACTCTTGTCATGTTCTTGACCATGGGCCTCCAGGGTCCTTCCCTTTCATCCTTCCCTTCCATCCCCACCTTCCAACTGTGCTTCAATGCCTTTTCCATTATGCCTCTGATCTTGTAAGTTTCAATCATAGTGACTCTGAGGACTGTCAACTTCTCCTAGGGCAGATTATCCCCCAGTGCGCCAAACGCCATAAGTCACTCGTTAAGCTACGGAATCAAGTGATTCAACTTTCAGTGGAAAGCTGACGCTGCCAGCTACAACATATCCGATTTTCAGATCGTTTCACCGATTGGAGTTTTGGATATAGCTATTCGAAGGTCGCGAGTTTTCTGGGCGTCATAACGAAGTGCTGCAGAAATTTCCAAGGAGCCATTGAATCATCTGCTAAAAGCCTTCTACAACCACCAAGTGGTATCAGAGCCCATTATCACGCATTTGGGACCTAAAATACGATGGGAGATAAAGAGGACTCTGGTGGAGGTGATACTTCAGTCCAAGGAGGCAGCTCAACCCAAGATTCTGGCATTGCAGCGCAAAGGGGAGCGCGTACAAGCCAGGGGTCACTGCTTAAGGAGGTGCTGAAGAACTTCACCATTGAGAAGTTCTCTGGAGATGGCTATGATGATTGGGCATGGAAGATGCAGCTCTACTTTCGACAAATTGGCCTCTTGAAGCTCATGATTGGAACGGAGCCAAGGCCAAAGAAATGGCAGAGCAAGCGGACTGGGATGAACGTTCATCTGTTGGGTATTATCTACTGTCACAAAGCTTGGAGCTGAACCAGAGGCATCACATCATGCATCTGCTACCGGAAATTGATTGTGGGCCCAAGGCATGGGCAGTGCTCAAGGACCTGCACGCTCCGACATCGGTTGCCGCTTCTCTCATGCTGGATCGGGAGCTGTCCATGCTGCGGTTGAGCGAGAATGAACCTGTGCAGCCCGTACTGGACAAGATGAGGGAACTCTACGCGAAATTGGCGATTGCAGGCATCACGTACCCAGAGCAGACAAAGTGTCTCAAGATGCTCAGCTTGCTGCCGGAGTCTTGGCTGCAATTTATAAGCGGACTCAGCTTGCCACAAAACCAAAGTCAATGGACATTGGAGTGGATTCGCACCAAGATTCTGGAAGAAGATTTTCGTCGCTATACACTGCGCGGAGGTGATGACAGCACCAGCGGCTATGCCATGCAAGGGACATGGAGGGATCGAGGGCGTGGCAATCACGGTCGCTCTTACCACAGCCAAGGTGGTCGCGGGACTTGGAACCAGCGGGGGCGTGGTGGCGCTGGTGCAAGAGGAAGAGGTGGTCACTCCATCAATGACAACAGTGAACCACGCTTGAGGGGAGAGTGCTGGTATTGCAAGGAAGAAGGGCATCCATGGTTTCGCTGCCCTACCAAGCCCGACTGGTGGACCCCTTGGAACCAATCGCAGAAGGGGAATGGAGGAAAGCAACCACATGGAGGTGCCAACATGGTAGCTGATCCTGCTGAAGAAACCTCCAAGGATGACAGAGGAATCGGAAATGAGGAGAGGAATGCTGGACAGTTCTACCATGTGTGTGACAAAGATGACAGTGGCACAGCTGTTGCAAGGGCTGGAGAGGAATTGCACCCGCTTGACATGTGGGTCATGGACTCTGGTGCTGCATGGACAATGACACCACGCAAGGACTTGCTGGATGCTGTGCGAGCGCCTCCAATCTCTGAAGTGCGCTCAGCATCCGGACATGCAGTGAAGGTCGCTGGAGTTGGTCGAGCTGCATTCAGAGCACCTGATGGTGGACTGGTTGTGCTGAAGGACGTGTTACTCGTACCGGGGCTGAAGGCCAATCTGATATCGCTGCGCAAGCTAGGCCAGGCCGGAGTCAGCACCACCACCAATGGATCCAAAACATTCAAGGGGCTGCGAGGAGATCGTGTGTTATGGGATTTATACGAAAGCAGAGATGTCTTCAGATCCATGTGGCAGATCCCTGCACTGATATGGGAATCAACAAAGAAGGAGTTGGGAGAAGTAAAGGCGGGTTCTGGAGTCCAGGGGGAGTGTAATGCAGTTAGTGCTGCAGGAGTGACGGTTTCTGCAAGGTCGGGGGAGACTGATTGGGAAACCGCACACAGGCGTCTAGGGCATGTGGCTATGCCATTGCTGCAGCAACTGCATAAGGAAGAAGCAGTAAAGGGGCTCAAGCTTTCTGGGCAACCAAATGATACCAAGTGCGAGACGTGTCTGCTGAGCAAGTTTACACGGTTCCCCTTTCACGGCGTAGCTGGGAAAAGCAAGGCAGCACTGGAACTGGTGCACATGGACCTCGTAGGACCTTTTCCAGTCCGAGGAAGTAAGGGGGAAAGGTACTTCCTTACAATAGTTGATGACTGGAGTCGGCTGATGTGGGCATACCCGTTGAAGCAGAAGGATCATGCTGCCTCAACAATACGAGATGATTGGCTGCCGTTCGTCGAGCGACAATCTGGGCACCCATGCAAGAGCATCAGAACCGACCGAGGTGGAGAGTTTCTAGGAGGAGATCTGACAGCGTGGCTCAAGAAACAAGGCATTGAGCATCAGCTAACGACGTCCTATACCCCTCAGTCAAATGGCGTTGCTGAGAGGGCTAATAGGACCATCCTGGAAACTGCGTGAGCGCTGCTGATCGAATCAGGGCTGGGGAACTCCATGTGGCCTCATGCGGTGAGGCATGCTACAGTGGCAAGGAACCGCGTACTCACAAAGGTGGCTGATGATATGTGGGTGCCGCTGGAGAGGTGGCTTGGAAAGAAGCCTCCAGTGGACATGCTTCGAGTGTTCGGATGCATAGCAGTGGTGCATGTCCCTAAACCGTACAGGACAAAGCTTGGAGCATCTGCACTTTGGTGTGTGCACCTTAGGCTTGCGGCAGAGAGCAAGGGGTGGCTACTCTGGGAGCCCTCAAAGAATGTGCTGTTTGACAGTCGGGATGTCAAATTTGTGGAGAACATCATGTATGGCTAGTGGGAGAAGCAGCCGGAGGCAAAGGTCACCCAGCAGCTGGAAGAGATCACTATGCACTTCGATCTGTCCGAACCTGAGGACAGCGAAGTCACTGCGCCAACGGCAAGCGGTACTGATGAAGGAAGCAATGAGGATATTGCAGCTGATGCTGAAGTCAAGGATCCGGAGCAGCAGCTGCAAGAGGCTTCCAAAACACCAAGTCTGCCAAAGCAAAGGAAACAGATTGGTGGGGGGACAAAGGATTGGGTGAAGGTGAAAGAATGGGTAAATCCAACCATCTACCCTGCACGTACCAGAATGGCAACGAGAAAGCTGCTGAGCTCCACAAGTAGAGGAGCCACAACTGAGCAGCAGGAACAGGCTCAAGGCGAAGATGCAGTGCTGTTCTTGGGTGATGACCAAGAGTCAGATGAAAGGGTGCGCAGAGGAGGCGCCGGGTGCCCTGACGACCCCAGTGAGGGGGAGATTGTTGGTGGGGCACTGGGATCGTCCTAGTTGAGTGTGGGAGGGCTACAGGTTCGTCCTGGGGGGTAATGGGTGCGCTACCCACCACAAAAAACATGCCCTTTTAACCCAGTCGGTAGCGGGCTGGGCCAACACGAGAATTTGCTGCGACTGCTCCGTCATCTTCGTTGTCATGTTGTGCAGCGCGCCGGCGAGTCGAGTTACTCTCGCTCGAACTCGTTTCGTCAAGCTTCGCGATCGGCTCGCATCTCCTCCAGAAGGGCGGTGATGCTCGCAAAGAGCTGCTGGGTAACCTCGGCGTTGTCGAAGTTCGCCATCCTGTTCAAAACACGCGCGGAGGGGTTAATTAAAAAAACGCGGAGTTGGTGCTTACCAGAATCGGCGCCGAAATTGTCGCCCCCGGTGGTTTTTCGAGGCAGAATTTCACGCTGCTTCTGCTTAGCTGAGCGTGATTGAGTGAGAAAAGCTCTGATTACCAAGTGTCACAGGATCGAGTGTGTTGAGGAAAAGTTGCACTATCAATTGATACAAGGCGCTTTTATACTTCCAAAGTACATCAGGTAACCAGGTTTATCCTATCCCAAGGGAATAGACCCTTCGAGAAACAGAATCACCCTGCGTATAGCCACGCGAGGCTATTGGCTTTAAGGGATTACGGCAGGATTACGCTAGATATAGCGCGCCAGTACATTCCGAGCCTGGTCCATAATATAATTATAATAAGAGGATAAACCAAAGGATAATGGAAAAGGAGAAATAGGAAACCTAATGAGATGAGATAAAAAGAGGAATAAAATAGAAAGGAGATATGGAAAGGGTGTAACGTGATCGTACCCTCACACCATGTTTTCAATTGGCATGTGTGGTTTGAATGTGTGCAAGGATTTATGCGTGGTGTGTTCTGGAGTTTAGGAATGTGTTATTTTGTTTGAGCATATATTTGTGATGATAGATCTTGAGAAGGTCTTTTGGATGCAACAAGAATTGCTTCAGTCGTAGCAAGAACGTCAAAGCTACAGTGACAGAAACCATTGTCGGGATGTTTTGCTTTAATTAGGGTTTTTGGGATATTCGACCACTCTACATAAATTCTTAATGTTAAATGGTGGTACGATTTAGGAGGGGCACATTGTGGATGTATTCACATCGCAGTGCTAAAATCCATAACAGTACACTGGATCTAACTTAGTGCCAAAAGATATACTAAGAGTACATCCGAGCAATTATTTCTCAGGACAAAGAGCAAACTTTTGCGCAGCGTTTCTAGTACCTAGTCCAACAACACTTGGCCTTGATCACCACCTGCACCCTCCTAGGCATGTTATCTACGAGGTTAGTGCAAAACTTTACAGAGATCTTCTCGCACTCTTCCTGGACCCACCCTTTTGCATAAGGGGGTGAGCACTAGGAAAATCGCGAAGTATTTGAGCGTATGCAAGAGTAGTGTGCATGATCTCAGATTGAATGTTATCTCTTCGACTATTTTCGCTGAGGTGTGGCCAAAGATGTCATAAGTTGATTAGTCCAATCTTATCATGGATCGTCTTCGTCGTATGGTTGCAGGATAAAATTACGAGTAGAGTGGCAAAAACTAGCATGTCCGCTGCAAAACTTAGGGTAACATAGCACGGTCGATTGTGCACCCATTCACTAGTAGAATCACGTTAAAATCTACGGGTCTCGTCACGGTGCAGCAGTTGAAGAAGCCCCGACTGGTGGGGAAGAATATCTGGGTTCAGGTATGGTGTGGAAGAGGGTCACTCCAGTGCTACAAAATCATGCTCTCCAAGCCATTCCAAGCCTAGGCGGGACACATGGCTTAGAATGGCTTGGAGAGCATGGGTATGTTATGCTAGACTGACCCTTTTCCTCACCAGATCTCAACCCGGATATTCTTTCTTAACAGTCGTAACTTCTTCGACAGTTGCACCGTGACGAGACCTACGAATCCTAGCACGATTCTAATAGTGCAAGGATGCACAATCGACGGTGCTATGTGTCGCTAATTTTCTCGTCAGATACGCTAGTTTTTGCCACTCTGCTCGTAATTTTACACTACAACGGTACGACGAAGACGATACATGATAAGACCGGACCGATCGACTTATGACATCTTTGGCCACACCTCAGCGTGACTAGTCTTAGAAATAACATTCAATATGAAATCGTGCACAATACTATTGCATACGCTCAAACACTTCGCGATTTTCCTAGTGCTCACCCCCTTATGCAAAAGGGTGGGTCCAGGAAGAGTGCGAGAAGATCAATGTAAGGTTGTTTTTGCACTAACCTCGTAGGTAACATGCCTAGGAGGGTGCAGGTGGTGATCAAGGCCAAGCGTTGGTGGAATAGGTACTAGAAACGCTGCACAGAAGATTACTCTTTGTCCTGGGAAATAATTGTCCGGATGTACTCTTTGTATATCTTTTGGCACTAACTTAGATCTAGTGTACTATTATGGGTTTTAGTGCTGTGAACACATCCACTATGTGCCCCTCCCAAAGCGTACCACCATTACACATTAAGACTTTATGTTCAGTGGTCGGAAAGCCCAAAAATCCTAATTAAAGGAAAACATCCGGACAATTATTTCCGTCACTGTATGAAGATTCAAAGTTTATGAGCTTGCATTACAATTGCGCCAGTTACAAAGTGAAGTTGTGGGGTGACTCAATATGGAGTCGGGACCATTGGGGGTTGGGGAAATTCGTCACACTACTGTAGCAGCTGCAAATTGGTTGGTAACAATTAAGCTGGGTTGGCAAGGGTGGCCAACTTGGTTGAGTTGGTTGGGAAGGGAGAAATGTTACAGTTTGTTGGTTAGAGAAGGCTATAAGCAGATGATTCAATGGCTCCTTGGAAATTTCTGCAGCACTTCGTTATGACGCCCAGAAAACTCGCGACCTTCAAATAGCTATATCAAAAACTCCAATCGGTGAAACGATCTGAAAATCGGATATGTTGTAGCTGGCAGCGTCAGCTTTCCACTGAAAGTTGAATCACTCGATTCCGTAGCTTAACGAGTGAGCTATGGCGTTTGGCGCACTGGGGGGTAATCTGCCCTAGGAGAAGTTGACAGTCCTCAGAGTCACTATGATTGAAGCTTACAAGATCAGAGACATGATGGAAAAGACATTGAAGCGCAGTTGGAAGGTGGGGTAGGAAGGGAAGGATGAAAGGGAAGGACCCTGGAGGCCCATGGTCAAGAACATGACAAGAGTCAAAGTTTTGACTCCCCATACTCAGGTTCAGCCAGCCTGGCAAGACAAAATTCACACTGTGCCAGGTTGGCCTCCAAACCCCAAATGCTGCAGCTGCAAGGTGGGGACAAAAGTCCCACACATGCTGGTCCCTCCTCGTTATAGGGCTCTCCAACTTTGGTGTAGCAGCTGACAAGGACTTCCAATGAGTTGTAACAAATCCATCAAACATTTCTTCGTAACTTCTTCATATGTGCTCCGATTCCAACAATTCTTGGCTCGTTGGAATGTGCTCGATGTCATGCACAATCCAAGCACATCTGCACAAGCACAAGATGAACATGCAAAGACATGCAAACCCAACAAACCATACAAACAACGTAGCACACAAAACACATGCAAACGAAATGATGCGAACAGACGACAGGATGACGTGCAAATGAATATGCACCAACACAGTTGGGGTTCCTTGGTTGGAGACTCTCTTGGGACCTTCCCTCTCATCCCTCTCTTCTACTTCCAACCTCTTTCTTGCTCCTCCAATTCCTTGTGGGATGTATTGAACCTTGACTGAAGTTTGAGATTGAGTTAAGTTCTTCTCCTACAGCATACCCCCCTGTGCATCGAAATTCATAGCGTCGCGAATACTTCATCAATCAACAAGATTCAAATTGGGAACAGTAGCTGAGATAAATGGCTACAACATGCTTAAGTTTCGCAACATTCCAAAATCTAGGTTTGTTTCGATGACGTTTCTTGCGGGCACGACTTTTCAGTCCAGAATTTCGGATATATATTTCCAGTTATTCTAGCTCCTACGTTCACATAGACTCCGTCCTTAATACTAACAAATGGTACTATAGCCATTTTGAGGACATTGAGAGGAGTTTACAGAAGAGTGGAGACCCTTCTAGACCCACCATGGCCTATGGGTGAAGTGGTGTTCTAATGGTTGGATATGACTTCCGCCAAGGGGAAACTCTGCAGAAATTTTGAGGACGCCGACACTTGTGAAAATACGAGGGAGCTGAGTGTGGACAGCAAAGGGGAGCTGAAAGTCGGAAAATTTAAAGGAGAAGATGAATGAGAAAGGAGGAGATGCTGCTGGAAGAGGAGCTGTACCTAAGAAAACAAGTGAGCCGCCACCATCCAAAGTTGAAGCTTTCGATGGCTCCAACTATTGGGAGTGGAGTGGGCGGATGAGGAGTGCCTTCAAACGCTACAAGATACTGAGGATTGCTGTTGGGGAGGAGAAGATGCACAAGGAATGCGAAGCACGCGAATGGTGGGTTGAGAAAAGCGCGGTGCTTGTCGACCTCATCCTTCAATCAGTCAACAAGGAGATGTTCGAGCACATCAAGGATCTTGTGGAAGCAGATGATTCGGGTCCAAGGGCATGGAAACTACTACGCAATGTGATTCAACCCAACACTCTCCCGATGGTGATCGTGCTCGAGAAGGAACTTGCTGCAACCTCCGTATGACTGGGGGATGATGTGAAGCCGGTCCTTGACAAGATCAAGGACACAAATGCGAGGATGGTAGTCCTTATGAATGATCATCTCGGTTCTTGACAACACTTGGAACAACCTCATCCCCACCCTCAACTCTCAGCAAGACCAGTCGAAACCTGAGTGGCTAAGGCAGGACATTCTACAAGAAGATTTCCGCAGGTGGCATGTGGGAGGAGGTGATGCCACTAAGGCTGTTGAGGGCTATGGAGCTGCAGGGCGCAGCAGAGGAAGAGGGGGTTGGAGAGGCCGAGGCCATGGGAGGAGCTTTAGCAGAGGTAGAGGTCGAGGTGACTATATAGAGGGTCATGGGAGCTCAGGTGGCAGGGGGAGTACCAGAATG